CAATTATAAGATACTATTAAACACCAAGTAACTCCTATAAGGCTTCTAAACACCAGGTGGCCAGAAGCTACCGGCCAGAGACTTCAGGCAGCCTGAGCTGAGACAACTAGCTGGGTGCCAGAATGCTGAGATGGGATACTTACCAGGATACTTACTACCTCGGCACACCTACCACATATACAGCATTTCAGTGTCCCCCAAAAGACAAACTGAAAATTTCTGCTTTACATTTTTTGCCTGTTTAGCACATTCTCACTTCTCCAACCAGGACGCTATCTATCCTTCCTTTGCAGGACCATCTCACCCCATTCCAAATGAAGCTAGTGGCAGAAGCAGTTTTAGGGCCTGATACTTCACCTACTTCTATTCTACCCAGGATGGCCAAGTAAAGTGCTCCATTATCCCATCACGATGGTTGATCCAATGTGGACACATGACCTAAGCAAGGCCAATCTGAGCTTTCTTCTCTCTTTCCTTTCGAATGTTGAATATAAGATTATAAGGCTTTGGGCTTCCTGCTAATTCATAGAGAAAAGAAATTGTACCTTGAAAACACTGTCCAGACCAGGAATGTCCTAAATACCAGAGCTATTAAAAATTAGAAAGGATTTTGAATGTTCCCAACAGGCACACACAAAACCGATAAATGTTTTGAGGTGATGGATACACTATTACTCCAATTTGATCACTGCACATTTTATACATATGTCAAAATATCACTCTGTATCCCATAACTCTGTACAATTAAGTGTCAACTAAAAATAAAGAGGAAAAAAACTGTTTATGGAAGCTTAAGATGGATTTCTGTTATAACCCAAAGTATCACACTAGATCAAATTTCCTGTGTGTGTGTGCGTGTGTGTGTGTGTGTGTGTGTGTGTGTACATATAGACAGATGCAATATATGTTTCAGATCAGTGGTGTAGACATATCAAGCTAACCCACTGTATAACTTCAAGGGAATACTTCTTTAGATAATCTCCAGGCATTATCTGCATTAACCATCTAGAGATCATCCTACCGGATGTCAACATTGAAAGAATACATTGGTTAGAAGTACGAACAGTACAGAAAATATAAGGACAGATAAAGCAGAAAGCAAGTTGAACTGATCCACATTATGTAGACACAATAAAATTAAAGTATTTTGAGTACATTACAGATTCACTTGCAGAATCAGGACAGATGAGGTCTAGTTAGAGTGAAAACTTTTTGTGAGGTATCAGCAGTTGTTTACATGACAAAAAGGAATGATTATGACAATTTGAGGTTAAAAAGGAATTCCAAATACATTAACTTCATATCCTTTTTTTTCCCCCTTTTGCAACAGAGTCCCAGGCGAAAGTGCAGTGGCATGATCTCGGCTCACTGCAACCTCCACCTCCCAGGTTCAAGCAATTCTCCTGCCTCAGCCTCCTGAGTAGCTGGGATTGCAGGTATGCATCACTGCACCCAACTCATTTTTGGATTATAGTAGAGACAAGGTTTTGCCATGTTGGCCAGGCTGGTCTTGAACTCTTGACCTCAAGTGATTCGCCCACCTCAGCCTCCCAAACTGCTGTGTTTATAAGCGTAAGTCACTGTACTCAGCTAACTTCATATCTCGAACACATTTGTCCCTTTTTACCACCAAATTTTTTCCTCTAGGAACACATCATTTTTACATTGGGAGATGGAAGGTTTCTTCATCATTCTTGAAAAGAAATACAAGCATAGATACTGATAAACAGAGGATAACAAAATGTCAAATCTACTTGGTTAGAAAACCTTTCCTTTATAGGAAATGCATTCGAGAAATTCTATCAATTGGAGGAAAAAAAAGTCACAGGTTATTATGCTAAATATGCAGTTAGTATAAAAGGATGGGGGAAAAAAAAGTCTTAATAATGTCTGACTGCTTTCTCATTACACTCTAAGTTCTGTGTAGACAGGAAGAAAAATTGTTTAGACTCACATCCTAGCATGCAGATCTGTACCATACAAAGAGTCAATATTTTTAGCTTATTAAATGACTCAATAAAGATAGTATCAAACTGCAAGAAGTTCAAAAGATATTAATGTCTATTGTATAGGCTCCGTTATCCTGAGTTGATTAATCTGGGTTTGCTTTAAATGGTCAACATTAGAACTAATGGATTTGTATCTTGGAATATGTTCCAAGAGTTAGCAAAACCATTACAAACCAGCAAAACCACCAAAAAACTGGAAGAACCAGAATAGCACCATGTGCAGATTTCCTTGAGAAGTGTGCTTTCATTTAAAATATGTTTGCGTCATTAAGCATACAACAACTCAGAGTCAGGAAAAAGAAGAACAAATTGGAAGGATAAAGATGGCAAAAAAAAAAAAAAGCACCATCAACCCATAATTTAAAACTTTCATACCCACAAAACAGGAATACGCTATAATTCCAGTAATTAAGCTTTCTTCTCACTACTATTTCATTATTCTCTTGCTTTACCTGGGATGAATCTGCTTGGGCTAATTCTGTAGTGACATTCAGTATCTGGTGAAGATTTTGTCCTTTGTCTTCAACAAGGAGGTGAGCCAACAGAAGAAAAGCAGGTACAGGCATCACAGTAGTAATAGGAAGCAAGGACTCTACTGAAGCCAACCAGTCCCTTGCAGCAGACACATCTCTCATTACTTCAATAATCCTCCAGGCTGTAAATATTGAACCATACATACTGGTTACAGGGCACACGAGCTTGTAGGAGAGCTGAAAAATAAAGACAAGAGAGGAATAAATAAATGAGATAAATATATGTGCCAGAAACACATTTCTGGCAATCTTATATTTCATTGTAAGATATCACTCCTTCCAACAAAATGAATACAAACTGAATTACTGCCAAAATCCATTCTGCACATATTTGAGGTAATAGGATTATACATAGAAAAGAGTTGTTAGATGGAACTCTAGAAAGTTTTATCACAACTTTTCCTCATATTTACCATTCATTCCCCATTAAGGCAGAAAATATGAATATAAAAGATGCAGAGGCAACTGAGTTTGGAAAAAGCTATTCTCACTTAAAAAGTATTCACCAATGAGAAGACAGATAGAAAAAAATACTTTATTTGCCCATCTCCAGGCCCTAAGCAGAAGCAATCTGGGGCAGATGGCAGACTTGGACTGAAGACAATTCATTTCTGTAACAGATCGTATGTTGATAGGATCAAAGTTGGTTCAGCTGGAGCCTAAGAATTCATTAATAATTGTAACTTCTGCAATAAGAAATAGCCTGACAGCTCTAAACTGAAATAATACCCAGAAATGACATTATGCTAAGTTAATCTGAGAAATGGCTCCTCAAAGAAAGAAAATAATGCAGTCAGGGCTAGAGGGTAGCCAAGGTGAGCTCTGTAAATAAACAGCCCAGGAGAAGTCATAGACATTAAACAATTATTAGACACTGCTTGCTAATAAAGTAATTCAAATCATGTAGAGTGCTTCATGACAGATTAGAAATCTCTAGATTATAACTGCCTGGTTAATAGAGGCTGACTTATATGAATTAGGATAACAATTGAAAGGATGGAAAGTAAAAAGTTAAGCTTTACAAAATTTTTACATAACAGCTTTGAGATATAATTTCCCTAATATAAAATGCACCCTTTTAAAGTTTATAACTTATTGGATTTTATTAATTCATTCCGAGAGTTGTATAACCATTATCACTACCAACACTATCTAATTTTAGAACATTTTCATCACCATGAACAAAAATCCCATACCCATTTGTAGTCACTCCTTACTCCCCCACCTCCAGCCTTGGCAACCACTAATCCACTTTGTTTCCATACTGGCCATTTCATATAACTGGAAACAGATAATATGTGGTCCTTTGTGACTGGCTTCTTTCACTCAGCATGTTTTCAAGGTTCATCCATGTTGTAACTTTTATCAATAATTCATTTATTTTTACTGCCTAATAATATTCCATTGTATGGATATACCATATTTTTTTTATCCAAATTTCAATTGATGGATAACTGGGGTGCTTCCACTTTGGGGCGATAATAAATAATGATGCTATGAACATTCCTGTAAAAGTTTTTGTGACGTTTTAAGTGTTCAGTTTTGAGTATATACCTAAGAGTAGATAAAAATTTGACCATTAAATGCCACAGTAAAAACAAATGAGGAAGCTCTCACTGTATAGACATGAAAAGATTTCCCCAAGTGAAAATATAACATATAGATAGTGTGACTGGAATGCTACCAATTTTTTTTGTTTCAAAGAGGTTGAGGAGAAAAAGACAATATATTTGTAGTTGCTTGTATATGCAAAGACAAGTATGTGGACAAATACAGAAGAAATTAGTAACCATTAAATCATCTGCTTTGGAGAGTGAGAACTGGACCACTGAAATCAAGGGCAAGAAGGAAGCATGCATTATATCCAACTTTACACTGTCTGAACCATTGGAATGTATCTTTACTTCAAGAAAATTACAAATTTTAAAAATTAAATAAGATATAAGTTTATATAGCTCTAGATCTCTAAAAATATTTTTCTTCCCAAGAAGATGGAATTCATTAACAACCATGGCCATGTTTTTTTTTAACTAACGACAAACAGCATAAAATGCAAAGGACCAGGACTTCAGCACAGCCATGCCAGCTATCAGCCATTATGCAATTTTTCTAAGCCTTACTTTACTCACTTGTAAAATTTAAGTAATGACTACCTTCCTGCTTAGGTTGAGTAGATAATAAGATAATATCTACAAAACACATAGCACAGTGCCTTAAGTTGCAAAATACAAGGAAACAGTATTACTGTCATCTTCAGGAGACAACAATAAAACTGATATTCATGAGTGTAATTTGGAATTACCATGAACCACAAGTTGAGTAAAAGCAACAACATAGTAGAGACATGTAAGAGCAAACAATAAAACAGAAAGCAATTCTAGGTTAATTGAACTGTTATATCCGAGTGTACGGTCTTATTTTTGTTTATCCGTTTGCCTAAGGTTAGAGCAGCAGGAGAAATTGCCCCGTTGAGTGACAGCTGCCACTGGCACAGTCCCAGGGCAAGGATGCAATCAAGGGTTTTTTTCTCAGCACCAGCTACCAAATCCTGGCCCCATAGCCCCAGGGAGGGCCTGTGAAACTGCTCGTAAGCTTTGTCCTTTAGAGAAGAAAGTAGGTGTTTAAAAATAAAAGGTTTATGTTATGTGAATTATGTAACAATAGAAAATTTTTTTAAAAAATAGGAAAATACATTTAAATAAATACTGGGTGGTTGTAAAACATCTCTTATAAGTAATTGAGAATTTTTACTTTTAAAAGCATTTAATAAAAATGTTCAGGTACATTAAGTAGTAACAGTAAGAGAGACATAGTACCTCTTTGTCAAAACAGGTCTGAAAAAGAAATTGTAAACAATATTGATTTTCGTTAACCGTAAAGAATGGCATTAATCTGTAATAGCGACTAAAACAGTCTTAACAAAAGTAGAGAGTGGGTATGGGAACTCAAACTTACAGATCCTTGAAAGGAAGATAGATTTTTGCTAGAGGATATTAATCACATGCCAGACAAGCAGAAGACTGGATAACATAAAGCCTCAAAAGAGCCTTTCTAGCTCTGTACCTCTCTGAAGACAAGAGTTGAGAGATTTGGGAGTGGCTGGTTATAACCAAGCGATAACACACACCATCCTCAGTTCCATGTCTTTCAGAAGATGACGATAGAAGCATAACATCTAAGACTGCCTAATTCCTTTGTTAAGTTTCAACCAGAACCCTAAAAAAAAGTTTGTTTCAATTTACTATTAATTCAGTTTGTTTCCCAGTAAATCTGAAATGGAACTGTTATTTACTCCGAAGTTCAGTACAAAGATGAGAAAATACTGTGTAAAAACAAACAAACAAACAAAAAAAACAAAGAAAACAAAATGAAAGTGTAGGTAACAGGATATAGGCTCTAGAATCAAACAGATGAAATCTGAACTCTAACTCTACCCTTTACTACCTGTGTAATCCAGACAAGTTAACCTCTCCCATCTCAGTTTCCTAGCTTGTAAAATAAGTATTTTAAGAATACCATCAGGGAAATGCAAAACAAAACTACAATGAAATATCACTTCACACACACTAGGATGGCTAAATCAAACAGACAGACAGTAACAACAGTTGGAGAGGAGGGGAAGAAACTGGAACCCTCATATACGGTTGGTGGGTACTTATAATAGTACAGCCCCTTTGGAAAACAATCTGGCCATTCCCCCAAACAGTGAAACATAGAGTAATCATCTAATCCAGCAATTCTACTCCTCGGTATCTACTCAAGAGAAATGAAGGCATTTGTCCACACAAAAATGGATACATTAATGGTTATAGCAGCATTATTCCTAATAGCCAAAAAGTGGAAAAGAGCCAAAAATTCATCAACAAAAGAACAGGAAAATAAAATGTAAGGTATCCATACAAAGACTATTAGCCCTACGAGAAAACGAGGCACTGTCACATGGTACAGGCTACAACATGGACAAACCTTGAAAACATTATACTAAGTGAAAAAAAGCCAGTCACAAAGGACCACATATTGTATGACTATATTTGAAGGAAATGTCCAGAATAGGCAAATCCCTAGAGAGACAGCAAATAGATTATAGATTGCCTAGCCTGAGGGGTGAGGAAGAAACAGGGGAATTAGGGAGTGATGACTACAAGTGCAGGGGGTTTTCAGGTAATAAAAATGTTCTAAAGTTGATTGTGGTAATGAATATATGATGCTGTGAATATACTAAAAGCTACTGAATTGTACACCTTAAATGAGTGAAGTGCATATGTGAATTATATTTCAATAAAGCTACTAAAAAATAATTGGGTTCCCATTGCACGACAGTAAGTTATTTACCTTCTTTATGCCTCAGTTAACTCTTAAGTAAAATGAGATCAACAATTTTACCTACTTCAAAGAGTGTGGGATAAAAATCAAATTAGTTAATATATACCAAAGTACTTAAAATGAAGCCTGCACATATAAAGTACTCAATAAACAACTCCATGTAGGTGGTGTTTTGTTACCCATTTTGCCAGGCCCCAGATACCAGACAGATTCAGTCACTAGTCCAAGGCCACACAGTCAGAAATAAGAAAGAAAGAATAGAGAGAGAGAAGAGTGAGAGAGGAGAGAAAGAAGAGAGAGATGGGAAAGGGGAGGGGGGGGGAGAGAGAGGGGAAGGGGGAGAGAGGGGGGAAGAGAGATGGTGGGGAGATGGGGGGAGAGAGGGGTAGGGGGAAGAAAGAGGGGGGAGAGGGGGGAGAAAGAGGGGAGGAGAGAGAGGGAGGGAGAGGGGGGAGAGAGAGGAAGGGAGGGGGGGAGAGAGAGGGAGGGAGAGGGGGGAGAGAGAGGTAGGGAGAGGGGGGAGAGAGGGGGGAGAGAAAGAGGGGAGAGAGGGGGGCAGAGAGAGGGGGGCAGAGAGAGGGGGGCAGAGAGAGGGGGGCAGAGAGAGGGGGAGCGAGGGAGGGGGGAGCGCGAGGGGAGGGGGAGCGCGAGGGGAGGGGAGGGGGGAGAGCGAGGGGAGGAGGTGTAGAGCGAGGGGAGGAGAGGGGAGAGCGAGGGGAGGGGAGGGGAGAGCGAGAGGAGGGGAGGGGAGGGGAGGGAAGAAGGAGGGGAGGGGAGGGGAGTAGAGCGAGGGGAAGGGGAGGGGAGGGGAGGGGAGAGCGAGGGGAGGGGAGAGCGAGGGGAGGGGAGAGCGAGGGGAGGGGAGGGGAGAGCGAGGGGAGGGGAGGGGAGAGTGAGGGGAGGGGAGGGGAGAGCGAGGGGAGGGGAGGGGAGAGTGAGGGGAAGAAAAGAAAAGAGAAAAGAGAAAAGAAACAACACCTATTTTATAGTTATTGTTAAGAAACAGGAGTTGGTCCACATAGTAACTCCTGACATACTGCACGTGTTCAATAAATGTTAACTTTAGCTGTAAGCAGGACAATGACAATTCCTTGCAAATGTTATTATTTTTAGGAAACAAATATTCTGCTTACTATATACTACTTCAAAGCAATTTCAAATAAAATCTACTTGGCACAACTTTATTACCAGAGACCCGAAAGTATCATATTTAATTTTTAAAAACACACGTAAGAATGAATAAACACATGGTAGATCTTAACTCAGTCAAGCTGTCTCTAAATCATTCTGCTGACTAAAACAGTTTTATAGAGATAAATTCTGCCCTCCTGTACAATCACGAGAATTTAGCTAATTTTAAGTCTCCTTTTCCACTTCATCTCACCCATCCACCCTTACTCCCCTCCAAAAAAAACTTTTCTGATTCTGTCTACTTCCTGAGCCAGTTATTCAACGTGTTACCTCTCTAGCCCACACCCACCCTTTTTTGTCTATGTGATCCTACATCTGCGCCTTTTCAACATTTCTCCTTTGCCCTCTGATCTAATGTTAGACCTTGTCAATGGAAAGCACAGGAAAGACCCTGCAAGAAATGGTAGAAAGGGCTTCTCTTGAGGTTCCTGTGTGCTTCTTTGATTTCTCCTACCATGGCTGCTAGGGACATGCAGGATATTCCAGTGGTGGCTTCCAGTGGACCGGCTCAGCCAATTCTAGCCGGCTCGCACCATGTCAAGTGGTTTTCTGTGGACCAGTTCTAGCCTATTGCACCCCAGCAAACTACATCATCTAGCAGGCCTTCTCCACATTCTCTCCTCCCAGGTCTGACTTTCAGCATTGTCTGGGGAGACACCCTTTTAGTTTCTTCCTTGGGAACTCTACCTTAGTCTTAGCTTAGAGGTAGTAGCAGCTCCCTAAATTTACTGCTGTAACATTCCTTAGATGCCTTTTCATAAGTTTTTGAAACTAAACCTCTCTTACTAACAATTCTTTGCATTAAGTTTTCCTTGTTCAAATTACCAGTCTGCTTTCTCTTTCCTGACTGGAATCTGACTCATACACTGATGCATTCTCCCTTTTATCCCCTACATTCTCGTGTGGGAGGGGAGGGGGCAAGGAGGAAACATAATGTTTCAAGCCCTTTAGAATTTACAACTAGTGTTCAATTTTTTTTAAAAAATAGTTACTTAGTTATTTTGCCTAGAGAGAATCCAATAGGTAAGTTTTAAGTATCACATTTTATACCCAAGATCACACCCACTGCACTCCAGCCCGGGTGACAGAGTGAGACTCTGTCTCAAAAAAAAAAAAAAAAAAATTCCAATACTCAAATACTCTTGACTTGGGGAAGCTGAGAACATTTGACTGAGTTCTGAAGAATGAGTAGTTCAGGCAGATGACATTAAAGGGCATTCTGTGCAAAAGCAAATGTTCAGGAAGAGACTTGAAGAGTTTGGGGCATATTAAATTCGTAGGCGTGTTTGGAATGTAAAGTTCCAGACAGGTCCAGGAAAAAAGCCAACAGTAAAATGTGGCTTAAATTTTTTAAAAGAGTGATCATATATCTACTCAAAGCCTCCTTAAAGCAGCAGTATCATAAGGAGGCTATTTATAGCCTTAACAGTACTTTTGCCCCTCCCCTTCACCGGCTGCTAAAAAGAAAGTCCAGGTATAGGTGTTGATGAGTAAGATTCACACACATCTGAGCAAATAGCAAGCCAAGTACTTATGTATTAGAGTTGGAGTGATCCTCAGTAAATAACACTTGTAATGTAAAGGAACAGAACTCTTGCCCTGCCCCCAATCCCATTCAAGATCCAATCATTCTTCCATATGGGCAAACCAAGACGTAAAGTTAAAAAGCTACTAGAATTTTTTCACTGGATTTTGTACTCCTATTACAGCTGATACAACAACCCAATTTAATTCAAATCAATTACCTGCTGCAAGTTTTAACGTTTTAGTCAAACAATTAGGATTTAGGAAGCTGCAGTATACATTCAATTTGCCTATAATTATCGGCCAGTTTCTGCTACATGCTCAAACAAGAAATAATAAGGAGTGGATTTGTGCTGCTAGAGCATTTAACATAAGAGGTACCTCTGCTTTTGCAGATGAAGCCACAATCGCACTAGTTTCTATTTACATAGTGCCTCTCTTCACGGAGATTTAAGATGCGTCACCAGCTTTATCTTATTCAATCCTCATTCCAACCCCATAAAAGGAGTTGGGAAGTAATGCTGCATTTTGATAAAGGCAAAACTCAAAT